CCCCAAAACCCCAAAACCCCAAAACCCCAAAACCCCTTTGTGAGGATTGGTAAATGAAATATCAATTATTCTATTATTTGTTAATTTTTTTTGTAAAAATGGAAGGTAATGACACGAGAATTTAAGCCGACACACTAAAATACTCTCTGACCCATGAATAAACAGTATTATAGCAGTTAAACTTATCCCTACCGACTCAGAGCCTAACATTGGGCTGAAAATAATTTAGTGCTTATTAACATATAGTTAAAAATTATTAGATTTCGACCGAGAATTACTCTTTGAAAATATTTCTTACGATATCCTTGTAGTTTCAACTTTTATCCACGATGATTGATAAAATTAGAATGAGCTTAGCTTAATTCTAGTTCAATGTAATGAAAGATGTTCTAATTTGTTGATTTTAATCATTTTATATCAAGCTTTTGCAACTACTTCTCAATAAAGATGCTCTGATTTAAAGAAAATATGGATCAGTATTAATAAATATTATAGGAATCCCTTCTCCTCCGGATGAAGACTTAGGCCCAAAAGCGTCAGACACTGCTCATGTCGAGATCAATCAAGCTACAAATAATCAATTAGTACTGCAGAAAATATAGAGTAATTCAACCACTAACTTTGGATTTTGTCTCAACCTGTTGGTATTCTGACCTATTTTTCCAAAGAGTTCTTTTACTAAATTTTCTGAGGTCCTCATCGAAAACTTAAGAGCAGCTTTATTTTGTGGCTAAAGATGACTATTTTTTTGAAGTCATAAATTAATCATCCGATATAGCATTGACGAAAACTTGTTAATGAAACTATACTTGGTCACAATAAGTAAGAGTCTGGAAGACATGATTGCAGATGCATCTCATAATCTCAATTATGGATCCCTGACAGTGTTTGATTCACAGGAGATCCCTCCGATTTCGATCCAGGACTACCTGCTTAGGATAATGTCTTACTCCAAGGCAACTTCAAGGAGCATGGTGATGTGTTTATGTCATATTGATAGTCTTTCTAATGACCAGGACTGCCCAATAATCCCGACAAGGTATAATATCCACAGACTACTCGTGGTTTCAATGATGGTTTCCTGCAAATTTTACGAAGACTTTTATATCGATAATGAATCATGGGCCACCATTGCTGGAATGACTCTTGAAGAGATCAACAGGCTTGAACGCAAGTTCTTGACTTACATTGATTTTAACATCAATACCAAGCTAGAATGATTTCTTAATTACGTCCAAATGCTACTTAGTTATGCTGTGGAGAATGCAATTGTTGAGATAGATATTGCCAAGGAGATCTTGCAGGCAATCTTGGATGCATCAGTGCAAGAATTTGGAGATAGTGAGAGTTAATTACTCCTTATAAATATCGATAAATCTAAAGTGCGTAATTGGATACCTCTTAGATCCTGGACACAACAGGAGGATACCTTTTAAATCTTTCAGTTGCCAGAATCTCAATTAACTAGCAGGTGTTCTTGCATTGATTTTCTTTTTAAAAATTATCTCTCACACATTTAACCATATTTATCAGGTTCAACTATATTATTCATAAAGGGGTTTTGGGGTTTTGGGGTTTTGGGGTTTTGGGG